TGTGCTAGAGGTAGATCTCAGCCCCCCCCCCGTTCCCTGGCTCTACCCTGTGGATCTCCTTTAGGATTTAGAGGGCAGGCAGTGTCTCTCTGAAAAGGCTGGCTCAGTTCTAGGAACCCTGAGTTACACTGGCCTGTGACGGCTTGCTCTACTGTCCTATGTGTCTGTGTCGATGTGAAGCCTAAGTTTCTGGTAACTCCCAGTGAAGTCTTCGGTTGAGGTGACAGAGGAGGGAAAGTGAAGCAAGAAGGGCCCTTTAATCCTGTCCTTGGCATCCCTGGCTGAGGAACAAGTCTGTTATTCTTTTCTTACCTGAAGCACAGTGGCTTTGGGAACAACCAGCAGGATGTCAGAACCTCCGTCAGCCTCCTCCAGGGTCACCAGCTCATCCATGGGCCTTGGCTCTCGGAACTGGAATGGGGGGCTCTGCCCACACACCCGGCCCTGGCGGTTCACATATCGGAATTGATAGAGTTGGGCTCCTGGTTTGGGCAGGTAGCTAGCTGTGGAAAGAACGGTCCAGAACCCCAGTATCACCTCTGGCTCTCAAGTGCTAGCAGGTCCCTTGGTGTTACCACGTCACCTACTGTCCACTCCCTTGGGACTGGTCCTTACGATGTGCTTCTTCCTCCTCCTCCCTGCCTAGCCACCTTTTTTCAAACTCTTCCCTCCTCCTCATCACATCTCAGCAAGTGGCATCACTGATGCTAGCTGCCACTTGCTGAGTGCCAACATGTACCACACACTGCACCGCCAGTGCTCCCCAGATTATTTTAAGTCCCTATATTGTTTCTACAGGCAGGGACCCTTTTTTAAGTCACCTGCCCAATGATAAACAGCTTGTAAACAGAGAGTTGAGATCTGAATCCAGGGAATTCATACTGCTATGACCACTCTTTTCTGACATTACCACACACTTTTCCTTGTTTTACACTGGAGTTTCTCTCTCTTTGGGGTAAACAGTAGGGTTAACATCCTCTAAATCCATCCTCTACTGATTCTTCAAGTGCTTGGTGCTACCCCAGTGATAACTTGATAAAAAGTCTCTCTCACAAGGTCTTTTTAATCTATTTGTTTATTTGTTATTTTGAGACAGGGTCTGGCATGTTGCTCAGGCCAGCACTGATAGCCTGGGTTGAAGCTACCCTCTAGTCCCAGCTTCCTCAGTAGCTGGGATGACACTGGAGCACCATTAGGCCTGCAGTTAAGAGTTATTTGAATTCACATTTCCTTATCCTCTGTGCTTTGGGGGGGGGGGTGAGACACGTCCTCTGTACTTTTCATGCCTGTTAGCCCACCTCCTTCCCCCAAACACCACTCTGTGGCTCCTCCATCCCAGTTACCCATTTCTCTTCATACCTTGGAACTGGACACTGGCATGGGTGGGGGAACCGTCAGTTGTACTTTCTGGCACTGAAGACCATACAAATGTGTGATAATCCCGAACACAGGCAGCTTCCACCTGAAAGAGAACGGTATGGTGACAGAATCACCATCCATTCATGACAGAAGGGTCGCATGACTGAGTGAGTGGTACTAATGATGCTAAGACTCAGGTAAAGTTGGGGGACATTATACTATTAGGAGAGAGAAAGGCTAAGGTGGAGCGATGAACTTTATACAGATGGTCTCTGGCATCTGTGGCATCTTTCTCCCATCAACTTGAGAATCCTAAGGACCTAGTCACTCCTCATTCTAACCAATCTGTGTCCCATAAGCCCGCACCAGAAGAAGGTCTAAGGATACCTTGAAAATGCCAATCCAGTCACTGGCACTGGGCATGGTGCCTGGAGGCAGAGTGTAGTGACATTCCACCTTGGTATTGGGGATGTAGGTCCGGGCTACATTCAGGAAGTTGACTCCACCCCGGGATGGTACCCGGCTTAGTGATGACTCTTCCATCCTGCCCTCAAGATAGATACCTGTTCTCCTATGAAAGAAAGAGTTGGCAGACTTTTGTCTTTCCACTTTGCTTCCCTCCCCTGACCCATGTGCAGCCATCCACAGTCTCTGTCCACACAGGACACACCTGGTTCCAGCCCCTAAGGTTGTGGGACCTTTTTAAGGTATCACTCGAAATCTCTGGGGCATAGGTCTGCCTTCCATGTCTATTTCCCATCCTGTCATGTTGTACCCTCTCTGGCTTATAGGCCCTCACTTGTCTAATTTCTATTACTTTTCACTGCCCCACTGACCAAGTCTCTGTTTCAGGAGCCTCTCCTTTTCATCTCTCAACATGCTTGGGAATTCCAAATCTCTTGGTTTCCCCATCCAACACCCCATATCTTCTGGCTCCAAAATTCAAAACTCACCTGAAGTGTGGGCCCTCTCAGTCTGAGCAGCACTCCCTTACATATGCCTAAGCTTGTTGACCCTGCTGTACTCAGGTTAGATGCCCCAAACAACAACTAATCTCTGATGACAATGAGTCTTCAGAGCTAGGATAGGTTCAGGGACCAGCAGCCTAATTCTAGCTCCTCGGCTCCTATCGTACCTGCCCTGGAGTTGTCCATTCTGATCAACTCCAAGGAAGCAGAAGAAAGCAAGCTAGGGTTCTCCTCTGAGAACTAGAGAGGAGGAGAGGGTAGGAAAGACAGGTTCTGTCCCTCAAGTTCTGTTCCAGGAAGTCAAAAATTCTGGAGGTGGCAGTTCAAGGGTGGAGTGAAATATTCAGCAGGAAGGTGGTGGTGTGGGGAGATGGAATGTGGGGGCCTGGAGCCAGGAAAGCCCCGCCCTTACGCAGGGGACAGGTTGAAAACTGCCTAAATGAGGGGCCCTAAGAAGGGGGGATGTACATTCGCTATTGAGAAAAGGGAGAGAGGAACATTCTTTTCTTTTTTCACATCTTGCCCAGAGCAGAACTAGAAACCCAGCAGTTGACTGGATGTTAACTCAGCTCTACTATCCCCTCCCTATTTCCTGCTGGCTCTTCTTAGCCTCAGCTCTGTCTAAACCCTGCCATATGCTTGGGTTGGTGGCAGAGGATACACTGGTAGGATGGAGCTGGAAGGGAAGGTGCCAGTTAGCTAGGGAGAGTTAATATGGGAAACATGAATTGGGTGAGAACAGACGATAGCAACAATCAAGAGTACAGGGCAGGGGTGGGACAGCTCGGTGGGTAGGGATGCTCGGTGGGTAAGGTGCTTGCCACCAAACCTGACAACTTGAGGTCAACCACGGGGAGTCACCTAGTAGGAGAAAACAGACTTCCCTAAGGTGTACTCAGACTTCTGCATACCTACATCTAGACACACACACACAGAAATAAAATAGTACTCAGAGATGAATAAGAACATATGATGTACATGTTTAAAAATGTCATAATGAAATTAATTGCATGTTAACTTAAAAATAAACTACTCCTCAGTCCGGGGCTGTGAGGCAGCCCTCTTCTCTCCAGCCAGCAAATCTGCTTCCTGTGTCAGCTGCAGCTGATGTGTCCAATCAGCCATCACTAGTCATATGCACACCCCCAAACACCCCAAACCCACACCAGGCTGAGACGGTCGGGGAGAAACTTTAAAAGGTATTAGATACTCCGTGTAAATAGAGCGGTGGGCTAGCAAAGAAAAGGGGCACAATTTCTTCTCTGAAAAGAGGTGGAGTAAACCTATTTCAATGTCATTTTTAAAAATTTCCATCTCTGAAAAATCCCTCGTTATATCTAGTCTGTTTTCTTCAAATACAACTCTTCCGAGGGCATGGTGAGTGTGAACTCTCTACAAAGCTCTACGCGTCGAGAACCTCCGAACCCCTCCCTCCCCCACCACACACAAAAAATCTGTAACAGCTGCAAACATTTTCCATATCTGAAAGTCCTGGACATCTAAAGTGTACTTCAAATTGTGTGTGTGTGTGTGTGTGTCCTCGCCACTGTTGATCTCTAACTGTTTAGGCATTCCACAAGTTGCAAGTTCTCTCAGCGTAGTAAAGGCCTTTAGATCTTTGGATTTGGGTGAGAGAGGGAAGGTCTGTGAGGGCAAAGACTTGCCTGGAAAAGATTAAGCAAATATTTCAGTTCCTTCAAGCTTCCATAAGAGGATCGAACTTTTACAGAGAAGGCCTCGTAAGAAGGCAAGGACAATGCGGGGGCTACCCCTGGAGGCTCCCTTGAAACCAACAACACCCGAAACGTGGGGCTGGATTCTTCAGTGCGAGGAGTATTAAACCTAAAGTCTCCTGCCGTCCTCTTCCACAGTTCTCGGATTAACCTTTCGCAGGCTGAGAATCGAGCTGACCACCCCCGCGTAAACCCACCCTCAGTTAGGCCAAGTTTCTTACCCCACAGACGGATCAGCTGTTCCCCTCACCTTTCACCAACAACAAAAACAGCACCCGACTGCAGGAGGGGAGGGGAAGAGTGGCGCGAGACCTTCTGGGGCGTGTGGTTCTTCTGTGACCTGAAACCACTCAGTTGTCTACCTCCTGAACTACATGTCCCAAGAGGCTGCGCGCGATGGGGCGGGGAAGAGGGCGGGGGCGGGGGTGGACTCATTGTGGCTTCTCGGGAGATGTAGTTCTCACTTCCGTGGCAGTCCAGGAGGGTGTGGCTACCAAAGGACTTCACGGCCCATAATTCCTCAGGAAGGACGGGTTGATATAGCGATGCCTGCTGGTTCGTAGTGTGCTGAGTGGTTGAGGGCTCTCACGCAAACGCACAGCTATTTTCAGCCGGGCAGAACGCTTCCAGCACAGCCTTCTTGTTAGGTTGCAAGTTATTTATTAGATAGGTCGTAGTGTTATATCCACTTTCAAAAGAAAAAGTTGCTTAAGGGAATCGTGTAGTGTCAAGGCTATGATGAAACCGTAGAACTCTGCCAGGGCTGGTTCCAAGCTATGAGTACATGCACCCTGATCGGTCACCACGGTCACTACGGTCTCACCATGTTGGGGATGGGGAACTCACAGTGATGGTAGTGGTTATTTATTTTTTTAACTTACTCTGACCTCAGGGTTGACAGATCTTGTAAAAAGTCTCACAGCTTACTCTTTTGATGCAGCTTGAGGATTTCTGTGCCGAGAGAGTCTGACAACACACACCTGCACGTGTTCACCCCAGAGTGGCTTCTAAGTCTAGGAAGAGGATGCATTGCCTGAGGTGGTGGCCCGAAACTACGGAATGAGAAGCATGCGGTTGAAAAGGGAGCTTGGCATGATGCAGGACTTGCCACAGCTCACAAACAAGCTACTTAGAGGCCTCTTTGCCCAAGCCTTTTAACTGGCCTAATTAGAGTAACAATACAAGTTGTTGCTATGTTTTTTATTTGAAATAGGTGAAAGATTTACACTATTCTCACACCCCAAGTCACTTAAGGACTTGGGCGTTCCTTACCCCTGTGAGCCACCTCCAACCCTTGAAGAGTTCAAACTTCACCCCGTCTCTGTATTAAAGGACTAGGTGCCGTGGTACACACCTGTAGTCCCAGCATTGAAGAGGTAGAGGCAGGGGGATGCTGGAGATTTCAGTGCCTGTGTGGGCTGCACAGGAGACCCTGTCTCACAAATAAATAAATGAATAGTTACATTAAAGGATGGCTGTTCTCTTCCTATCTGCCTGTTTTAATTATCTGCTGCAGTAGATTCTGGCATCTCTGCCTTTTTGGTAGGGTTTTTTTTTTCTTTTAAGACTGAAGAGGGTGTTTGATGCTGTCCTTGGGTGCCTTTCATTTGAAGATCTTCAAGCATTAAGTCACTGGGCCGCACAAACATTAAGGCGACATGTCTGTGTCATTAGTCAGGATTTATGAGTTAGAGCACAAGCTACTGGATGGGGAGATGGCTCAGGGTCCTGGGCTGAGCTAAGAGTGAAGCCTGTCCTAAGACCGACTCAAGTCTCAAATGTTAATGTTGTCGTCCATCAGAAGTAAAGCCTGTAAAAATCTCAGTCTCAAGAAGAGCTAAAAATAATAACAATTTCCATACATGGGGGTGCTTACAGTGTGAACAGACTGCAATGTAGGCCCTATTATCACCCCATTTTACACATGGTAAGAGTGAGGCACAGACAGCTGAGTGACTCAGTGCTAGAACCAGGCTTCAGGTTTCAGTGGTCAGCATACCACATTAATGGGGTTTTAAATTCTGCTGTTGGAAGGAGCAGCGGCGTTAGTCAGGGGATAAATATCCAAGGAGTTTTCATGTGCTCTGTGAAGGTGCATGGCAACAGGAAGCAGCATCACTCAACAAGCATGTGTCAGGACTATGCTGCATGTTCATACATTTCATTGAAGGGATAAATATAGACACTGAAGAATATATTTGGTTTGGATAGTTTGTCAAGATGGGACCAGGAAGAGAAAGCTTACTTTAGGATGAGGCCAAAATTCAGAAATGGGCCTGGGTAATGGTCACCAGAGCTTAGAGAGGTACTCAAAATAGCACATTAGTTTCCAAGTACACACACACACACACACACACATCGAAAAACAAAACAAAACAAAAAACTGCACGAGGCATTGGGTTTGACCCCAGCACTGTATAAGCTAGGGCATGGTAGCATACACCTGGAAGCAACTTGGAAGTTAGAGGCAGGATTATCAAGTACTCAAGGTCACCCTTAGTTACATACCCAGTTCAGGAGCCAGTTTTAGCTGTAGGAGACCCTATTTAACAAAACAAAACAAACAGGGCTGGCAAGATCGCTCAACAGGTTAAAGCACTTGTCAAGCAAGCCTAACAATATGAGTACAATCCCTGGGAGCCATTTGAAAAAGGCGGATGTGATGACATACAGCTGATTATGTAAATCTCAGCACTTCTGTGTCAGGACCCTCACAGGTGGAGAAAAGAGAAACACTGAAATTCATCTTCTGACCTCCAGGTAGCAGCAGCAACCATGCCACCTGAATTCACACACACACACACACACACACACACACACACACACACACACACTAAATAACAAACTAATAAATAAATAACTCAAATATGGCCTGGAAAGTGCTTCAGAGGTTAACAGCACTACTCTTCCAGAGGATCCAGGTTCTATTTCCAGAACCCACATGACTGATAACAATTGTCTGTAACTGCAATTCCAGGGTATTGATGCTCTCTTCTGACCTCTGTAAACTCCAGCACACATTAGCTACACATATATGTAAATTTAGGCAAAGAACCTATATACATAAGAATAAATAATTTTTTAAATTAAAAAAAGGGGGCTGGGTAGTGGTGATACATGCCTTTAATCCCACATTTAGGAGGCACAGGCAGGCAGATCTCTATGAGTTTGAGGCCAGCCTGGTTTACAGAGAGTGTTCTGGGACAGCCAGGGCTACACAGAGAAACCCTGCCTCAAAAAAAAAACAAATCAAGCCGGGCAGTGGTGGCACACACCTTTGATCCCAGCATTCAGGAGGTAAAGGTAGGCGGATCTATGTGAGTTCGAGGCCAGCCTTGTCTACAAAGTTACACAGAGAAACCCTGTCTCTAAAAACCAAACCAAACAAACAAACAAAACCAACCAAAAGCAAAACAAGGTGGAGAGATGACTCAAAGATTAAGAGCACTGACTGCCCTTCCAGAGGATCTGGGTTCAATTCCTGGCACCAACATAGTAGCTAGCAACTGTCTGCAACTCCAGTTCCAGAGATTCTGATGCCCTGTTTTAGCTTCCAAGGGTACCAGGCACAAATGTGATGCACAAATTTACACGCAGACAAAATATCCATATACATAAAATAGATAATAAAAATGTTTTTAAATATTAAAAACAAAATCAAGTAAAACATCTTGAGGGATGTTTTTCATAGTCTTTGCTTCTGAACTTGCTATAGATGATCTTAAGCTTAGTGACTTTTGAAACCACACATTAGACAGTCCTATAATTCCAGCTATTAGGAGACTAAGGCAGCAGGCTCATAAGTTCATAGCCTGATTTTGGGGGCAGAGTGAGTCAAGTCCAGCCTGGGCAACTTAGTGAAACTCTCCAAATAGAAAAAAGGAAAGGAGTGCTGGGGCTATAATTTGCACCTGCAAAGTTCTTGGTTCAATCTCCAGCATCATAGAAAACTCACATGTTGAAGATAGCACAGTCTCAGGACAGAGGGTATCTGGTTCCCTGTGTCACTATTAATCGAGGCCATGCTTTGGGACATTACTTGACCTTGATTTCTGTTTTGTTATACGATTAAAGATTTGGAAACTATTTGTTTTGTAGTAGCAAATGTTTTCTTAACTTATCAAAAGTTTGGAGTCATTCATTTTACAAGTTAGTTACTAATGATTTTTTTTTGAGACAGGGTGTCACTATGGAGTTCCGACTGTTCTGGAACTTACACTGTAGACCAGGCTGACCTAGAACTCATAGAGATGCACCTGCCTCTGCCTCCTAAGTGCTGGGATTAAAGGTGTGTGTCGCCATGCTCAGTTGATTTCTTTTTTAATTTAATGTGTATTATAGTGTACATGTGGTGGTCAGAGGACAACTTTCAAGAGTCAGTTTTCTCCTAGGAATGAAACTCAGGTCATCAGGCTTGACAACAAGCACCTTTACCCATTAAGTTAGGCTAAGCCAACTCACTAAAATAGTTTTTTTATTTCTTGAAACAGGGTCTTTCTATGTGATGGAACTTGATTTGTAGAGCAGGCTAGTTTTGAACTCACAGAGATCCTCCTGCCTTCTCAGTGGTAGGATTAAAACTGTGTGCTACCATGCCCACCACTGGACTTTTTTTAAGAGGAAGAATGTGGTGGTTTGAAAGAAAATGGCTCCCAAAAGGAGTGACACTATTAGGAGGTGTGGCCTTGTTGGAATGGAGGAGGGCTTTGAGGACTCACATATGCTCAAGCCACACCCAGTGAGATAGTTCATTTCCTGTTGCCTCCACAAGATGTAGAATTCTCAGCTACCTCTCTGCACCATGTCTGCCTGCTCTTCAACATGTCCCACCATGATGATAATGGAATGAACTTCTGAACGGTAAGCTACCCATTAAATGTTTTCCTTTATAAAAGTTGCCATGGTCATGGTAAGCTACCCATGAAATGTTTTCCTTTATAAAAGTTGCCATGGTCTTCTTTTTTTTTTTTAAGATTTATTTGTTATGTATAGAGTGTTCAGGCCAGAAGAGGGCACCAGGTCTTATACAAATGGTTGTAAGCCAACATGTGGTTGCTGGGAATTGAATTCAGGCCCTTTGGAAGAACAGTCAGTGATCTTAACCTCTGAGCCATCTGTCCAGCCTCATGGTGTCTCTTTACAGCAAAAGAAAACCCCAACTAAGACCGGGGAGGGGGGACTGACTTTGAGGACAGATGGAGTTTGTGAAGAACAGAGAATACTGAGTAAGGACAGAAGACTTGAGGGCTTTTATTTTTGGGGGACGAAGTCTAATTAACTTCTGACAAACGGAGAGGGGAAAGGTGATGTTGGTGGGCTCTCTAGAGGCTGTGGGGGCAGCTGTGAAACAAATCACATTTTTCTGAAGTAGGTTCCTCCCCAACCCCTCCTGTTCTGGGATGGAATGAGGGTACTGTACATACTGCAAATATTCTACAACTAAGCCATACCCTAACCCTTTTCCTGAAGTGTTATGTCTCTTCTGTAAAATTCCTTACTTCGGTGTTTACCCCTCCAGCTCAGTGCCTGTACGAACATGATGTGTGTTGAATGGAAGTTGGCTCTGGCCTCTTAGCAGTGAGGAGCCATCGTTATCCAAGTGCCTGCTGTGTGGGAGGTGCCCTCTCATCCCAATCCCATGCCAGGTACAGTGTGAGTTCCACAAAGACAGAAAAAGACAACTGTGAGTAACCTGGGTTGAGTGAAATTCCAGCACTCTAGAGAGTGGGACAGGAGGATTGCTGCCAGTTCAGGGCCAGCCTGTTCTACAGAGGAAGACCCTGCTCCTGGAAGCCTGAGACAGGAGGATTAGTATCAGAGTTGTTAGGTTCAGAGTCTGGGCTGGGCCGCCTGTGCTCAATAAGTCAATTAAGAGTCAAGGGAGACAAGCAACAGTGAACAGAGAAAGGAGATTTAGTCAATGTGGCCACGTTGGGAAGAGAAGCAAATAGATAATCTAGTGACCCCAATCCCCATCTTAGGGTCCTGACATGAAGCATAAACACGGGACAAGAGCTATTCATAACTAAGTCCCAGTCAACTGGAGGCCCTGATCATCATCGTCATCATCTGGCTCCAGTCTATTCACAAGGATATCCGACCATGGGTCAGAACTGAGCTAATCTCTCTCTGAGAGACAAGCTCCCCTCTGGCTAGCACCAGGATTCCTTTCCCAGCAGGCAAATCTCCCTGGGGAAATTCCAGTTTCTTGGGGCTTTGGGGCCATTGTCTGAATTGTCTAATAGTCAAAGAGAGGAGCCATGGGTCTTTAAAACTCCTGGACAGTTACTGGATGTTTGAGGCTAGCCTGGGCTGCATAGTTTAAAGGCTGCCTGAGTCTACAGAATAAGGGTCTAGCTCAGAAAGAAAGGAAGAAAGAGAAAGAGAAGAAAAAGTAAAACACAGGGAAACAGCCTCTCAGATACTGCAGACACTGCTAATGTGTTCCAGCTATAGTCTCTCTCT